AACTAAGTTTGGCGGGCCAGCAGGCCCAGTGGGCTGAACAGGAGATGAATCAGAAGGGAGCGGGTGGGCCGAGCAGGGCCGCCGACCAGGTGGGCCCAGGCGGGGCGGCTCCTTTTGGGCCGGGACCGGTGGACGGGCCAGGAGGGGGGCGGACCGAACCGGAGCGGACCGGTATTGGTCGGACCAGTGTCGATCGGACCGAGTTGAGCCGAACCGGACCCGGGCGGACCGGGATGGGTCAACCCGAGGTAGGTCGAACCGGGCATCGACCGAGTCCAACTACCCAGCCGATCCGGAGGGCGGACAGCAGGGGCCCAGGAGGAGGAGAGGGCCATTATGAGGCGCCTCATGTCCCAGGCGAATACCCGAATCAGCCGGGTTGCTATCCGGGTGACTATGGACAGGGGAATCCTAACCAGATGCAGTGTTCTCAGTGGGGGCAGCCATGGAGGACGCCAGGAAATGACAGGTATGGGTCCCAGTATCCAAACTATGAGGGAATGGATGGGATAGTTTTTCGAGCTAAGCCTCCTACCATTGAGTTTCCAAAATTCAATGGGCAGGAGGATGCAGGTCTTTGGTTGTATGCAGTTGAGAGGTGGTTTAAGAACCACCCAATTCCGGAGGAGAGGAAAGCCTACCTGGCATCGTTCTATCTGGAGGGCGATGCGCTCCAATGGTGGGAGTGGATGGAGCGATCATATGCAGCAGCAGCAACCTTGATCACCTGGCCCATGTTTCAGGAGGAGCTCCGTTATCAGTTTGGGAAGTCGGATGGGTGGGCTCCTGAGCAGTTGGCTAAGCTGAAGCAGACCGGCACAGTGGCGGAGTACCGCGCGGAGTTCTTCAAGTTGGGGAACCAGTGCAAGGGGGTCTCGGAGGACACCTTGGTGGGGCTGTGCATGGCGGGCCTCAAACCCGAGATAGCAGCGGCAGTCAGGGTGTTTGAGCCCGATTCTGTGAAAACTGCTTTTCGTCTTGCAGGTCATAAGGAGGAAGAACTGGCTAGCTGGAGAAGCACCATTGGCCGCTTTTCAAAGCCCAGTGGAGGAGGAGGGAGCAGCAGTGCTAGTGGCGGCACAGGAGGGGCACCCGGGGGCTCGACTGGGGCCAATGCGGGCGGTGGAGGACCAGCCCCGGTGGCCAGGGTGGGGCCGCGGGCCATACCGAAGGGATTCGTGCGACTGACGCCGGCAGAGATTGAGCAAAAGAGGCGAGAGGGCAAGTGCTTCAACTGTGATGGCCGATTCACCATTGGTCATCAGTGCCCGAAGCCGGATTTGATGATGCTGGTTGGGCGCTGGGAAGATGAAGCAGAAGAAGAGGCTGAGGATGATGGAAATGGAGAGGAAGATGCCTAGTGAGCTGGAGGGACAACCTTGGGGACAAGGTTGTTTTTCGAAGGAAGAGGGGATGTGGGAAACATAATTATTAGCTGTTTTCGGTTATTTCGTATTAGTGTCGGTTTTTATTGATTGGGGGATTATTTGGGTATTTGGGGGAATAAACAGGTAGTTAATTGTTATGTTTTATTATTCGGGTAGCAGATAGGAATTAGACAGGTTATATATTCTGTAATAGGGTCTTATTTTGGGATTAAGCAATTACAGAACCAAAAACCTAAAACCTAACTCTCTCTCTCTCTCTCTCTCCTGCGGATTCCCTCTCTCTTTTTCCCTCCCAAGCTGCGGCAGCAGCAGCCCCAAATCCTTCCCTCTTCTTGTTCTAAATCCCTAATTCTAATCCCTAGTTCGATCAATCCCTAATTGATCTAGCTAAATTCCCCAATTCCCAACCTGTAGGAAATCTTGTTTCCTACAGACATACTTCGATCAGAGTGCTACTAGCAATAGTGGCACATTATGACTTGGAGCTTGAGCAGCTAGACGTGAAGACAGCTTTCCTACATGGAGAGTTGGAGGAAGAAATTTACATGACTCAGCCAGAAGGATTCGAGGTTCCGGGAAAAGAAGACTATGTTTGTAAGCTGAAGAAGTCCTTGTATGGACTTAAGCAATCTCCGAGGCAGTGGTACAAGAGATTTGACAGTTACATGCTTGAGCTGGGCTACAACAGAAGTCCATATGATTGTTGTGTATATCACAGCAAGGCAGAGGATGGTTCGATGATATATCTAGTTCTGTATGTGGATGATATGCTCATAGCTGCGAGGTCGAAGTCTGATATCCAGAAGTTAAAGGGGCTTCTCAGTGCTGAGTTTGAGATGAAGGATTTGGGAGCTGCTCAGAAGATTTTGGGTATGGAGATTTACAGGGACAGGTTGAAGAAGAAGCTTTTCTTGTCACAGAAGAGCTACATCCAGAAGATACTGTCGAGGTTTGGCATGTCTTCAGCAAAGCCCTTAAATACTCCTAGTGCTTCAAATGTTCATCTATCCTCAGCCTATGCACCGCAGTCAGAGGCTGAGAAGGAGTACATGTCGAGAGTCTCATATGCTAGTGCAGTAGGTAGCTTGATGTACGCTATGGTATGCACTAGACCTGATCTTGCACATGTTGTTAGTGTTGTCAGCAGGTTTATGATACAACCTGGAAAGGAGCATTGGCAGGCTGTGAAGAGGATCTTCCGGTACCTTAAGGGTACACCTGATGTGGGGATTAGCTTCGGAAGTGATACAGAGTGCTTGGTGTCTGGGTATTCTGACTCGGACTATGCTGGAGATGTTGACACGAGGAGATCGATGACCGGTTATGTATTCACTCTTGGGAGTTCTGTAGTGAGCTGGAAGGCAACTTTGCAGTCGGCGGTGACATTGTCTACTACTGAGGCAGAGTATATGGCGTTGACAGAAGCTGCCAAGGAGGGAATATGGTTGAAGGGACTGGTTGGTGATCTTGGTCTACATCATGATCAGGCAGTGGTGTATTGCGACAGTTTGAGTGCAATATGCTTGGCCAAGGATCAAGTCCACCATGAGAGGACTAAGCACATCGATGTGAGGTATCATTTCTTGAGGACAGAGAAGAGGATTAAGGTGAAGAAGGTTGGCACCGCGGATAATCCTGCTGATATGTTCACGAAGCCGGTTCCACATGGCAAGTTCCAACACTGCTTGGACTTGCTGAATGTCTTGAGTGGGTGACTCCGCCCTACGGGGCATTGATGGCGGGAGAGAGAGAAGGAGCAGAGTACATCAGAGATTTCAGAGGAAGAGGATTCAAGTCAAGGTGGAGATTTGTTGATATGACTTGAATCGGATTATCAGCCGCTACGACTGGTAACCTGGACTCAAATCATTTGTTTTGAAATAATTCAAAAGAGTCGTTCGACCAACGGGTCGGGTATAAACTAGTTATTTCATAGGCACAAAAACATGACACACACCGCAAAATGAACCCACAATTTGGCTTCGGTCCATCACCCATGTAGAGGGAGATGTGGAGCCCACAACCACAGCACGGAGACTTTGGGAGGTGGGCCCGCCTCCATGGAAAAATGGTTGCTGCTAAGTAGACAAACCACGGAAGAATTCCCTAAATACTCATAAAATTTAAATTTTTTTTCTTAAACTACCACACTTATAATTTTTTCCTAAATACCTAAGTTTGGAGTGGTTCGAGTTTTAGAAACTCGAACTACTAACTGGTTCGAGTGTAGGAGAATCGATCTAGACGTAAATCGATGATGTAAGCCTCGAACCATGTGAGGCTGAAGTGGTTCGAGTTCACTGAACTCGAACTACTCCTTTGAAATTTCCAACAACCTTAACTTTGTGCTCGGTTATCCGATCGTAGCAAAAAAAATTTTCATTTCACATACTTTTCGAGTACTACAACTTTTATAAAAGAAATATTTTCAGAATATATGTGGAAATGTGAAAATTAAAGTTAAAGTTATTCCCAAAACTCCTTATATTAAAAAAAATATTCCTGTTTTGAAAATGTATTCCTAGTAAATGTTGTAGTACTCAAAAAATTATGCAAAATAAAAAAGACTTTGCGATGTTCGGATTGCGGAGCACAAAGTTATGATCGTCCAAAGTTTGGCAAAATCGAAAAATTGCTCGTTTAGGGGTAACAAATGACGTTTTCCAAACGAGAAATTTTTGGATGGCCATCTTTCGAGAAAATATCATTTGCTACTCATAAACGAGCAAATTTTCGAATTTGTCAAACTTTGGAGGATCATAACTTTGTACTCCGCAATCCGAACGTCGCTGTTAAAAACGCGCTGCTACGGATCGGGAAATTGCCGGAATCGATAAAGCAGAATACGAGAGCGAGAATCGAAAGAACACAGACACACGATTTACGTGGTTCACTAACACGATGTGTGTTAGCTAGTCCACGGGCGAGAGAGAGCCGTTTCACTATACTGAGGAGATTAGGTTTAGACCCACATGGAGAAGTACTATAAATACTTCTCATACTCCTCTGTAATCTGTAATCTCCTCAGTATAGTGAAACGGCTCTCTCTCGCCCGTGGACTAGCTAACACACATCGTGTTAGTGAACCACGTAAATCGTGTGTCTGTGTTCTTTCGATTCTCGCTCTCGTATTCTTGCTTTATCGATTCCGGCAATTTCCCGATCCGTAGCAGCGCGTTTTTAACAGTCGCAAAGTTTTTTATTTTTATTTTGCATAGTTTTTTTAGTACCACAACATTTTACTAGGAATAATTTTTCAAAATAGGAATATTTTTTAATATAAGGGATTTTGGGAATAACTTTAACTTCAATTTTCACATATATTCTGAAAATATTTTTATTATAAAAGTTGTAGTACTCGAAAAGTTATGCGAAATGAAATTTTTTTTGCTACGATCGAATAACCGAGTACAAAGTTAAGGTTGTTGGAAATTTCAAAAGAGTAGTTCGAGTTCATTGAACTCGAACCACTTTAGCCCCACATGGTTCGAGACTTACATCATCGATCTACGCTTAGATCGAGTCCCTTACCCTTGAACCAGTTAGTAGTTCGAGTTTCTTAAACTCGAACCACTCCAAACTTAGGTATTTTGGGAATTTTTTTTATAAGTTCGGTACATTAGGAATTGTTTTTAATTTTATGTGTATTTGGGGAAAGGCCTATAATCCACGTATACAGGGGCCCCAGCTGCAGGCTAAAAAGGACCCCTCCTAGCGCTGTAGGGTCACTTGCCCTTCCCTTCCCTTCTCTTCCCCAGCTCTCTCTGATCTTTCCCCGCAGCCGCAGCCGAAGTCTAGAAAAAAGAGCAACCCTAACCATGGCCTCTCCTTCTGATATCGTTATCCACAACGGCGCCGCCGCGCAATACCAGCAGCAGCAGAATCTCAACTTGCATTCCCTCCCCCCAGCCCCCGCCGAATCTCAAGTCGCAGTTGGCCGCCCCCGTCGAAGGTCTTCATCCGGGGACCGACACAGCAAGGTCTACGGCAGGGGAAGGCGGGTGCGGTTGCCGGCGCTCTGCGCTGCTCGTATCTTCCAGCTAACCAAAGAACTCGGCCACCGCTCCGACGGCGAGACCATTGAGTGGCTGCTCCACCAGGCAGAGCCCTCCATCATAGCCACTACTGGCACCGGGACCGTACCGGCCGCCCCCATCTCTTCCTCCGCCCCGGTGACCGCTTCTCCGCCGTCCATCTCCTGCCCTGTCTTCACGCCGCCTCCTAGCTGCCGTCTCGGCTTGGAGTACCGAAGCATGCCTTTCACCGCTCTTTTGCTACAGCCACTGCCCCCCGGTCCCGGTGAAGGACGGCGTCAGCAGGAACAGGGTCATGGACATGGAGAGAGCAAGGAACAAGAGGCATAACTGCGGTCTTTTTCTCTTCTCCCTAGTGCCTGTCTGCCTGTCTGTCTGTAAATCCTTTTTAGTTTTCATGCTAGGAATGGAAAAGCCACAGGGGAGATGGAGAATTAGAGATCTCGCTGCGCTGGCTGTTCATCGAGTCAATGGAACATGTTTGCTTCGAGTACCAAGATTTTGGAAAGTTGGACCCACCATTTGCAGGATCATACATTATTATTAATTATTTATGAACTACCTGTCTGTGGCTCTGTGCTAGTCGTTTGTTCGTTTCCCCTCCCCCGACTTCCTTTGTTCTAATTCATTATTACATGGAAAAGAAACAGAAAAGTACGCAGCCGCCCCGTTAGACATGATGACACTTTAGAAGAAGAAGAAGAAGAAGAAGAAGAATTAAGAAGGCCCATGCCACACTAATAATGAACTGAAGGATACAAAAGGGGAAGACAGACTATCTGTAACTGAAGAATATTCTGGTACCAGAGCACGCAAAGGCTCTTGTTATTCCGTAATCTTTGTTTAATGCCGCCGCTACTGTCTACTCTAGTGTTTCTTGCCAAATATCCACCTTCGTTTCTTCTTCTTATTAGGTTCTGGGGAGACCGTATCTGAATCTGAATAAAGAGACCGTTGAATACCAAAAGGAAAAAAAAGACGCCTTCATCAAGCTATAGTTATTACCACCATCTTGAGCTTATGAGATGCTAAATAAAAGATTACACAAACTCACCTCCCTGAAAGTAGATTGAGTTGTAATGTACTTCTGCCCAGAAACTCAACAAGATCACTGCACCAATACCATAACTGTTTGATCAAGCATGCGGCATACCAAGAACTCGAGTATGGCCCCGTGTCAAAAGGACAATGTACATAGGTTGATAGAATCAATCAATCATTACCTCCTTTTGGCTTCTGTTTTTGAGGAATAATCTCTATGTAGTAAGTATCTTTGAATGAAGTCATGACAAGTACTCTTACACCATACTGCACAAAGTTTACACAGATGATATGCATCGATATACTTGGCAATTATCAACACACGGAAAGCAAACACTAAAGCACTACGTTCCCAAAGCAGAGACGAGCTCATAAAAGTCTTACAGAATCAGCTGCGGCCTGCAACGTGACATGATCACCCCATTCACCAGACCTGGAACATGCCCGAATGGGGAGAGGATTAAAGGATAACAGCTATTACCCTAAAAAAAAACTAAACTACCAAGCTACAAAACCACCAAGCAATAGTTCTCCCTGTACCTGGACATGTTCTTCAAATATTCCCTATACGTCATGGGAACATATCCTTCATACATCTCTGGGTTAGCTTTTAGCTGATAATTTGTAATCAATTATCCAAGAGAAATATGTTAACCACGACAAAACTTTCAGTCCATCAATCAAATGTGTGAAACAGCTGTTGATGAAAATGAAAAACAAAAACAAACCTGGTTTACAATCTCTCTTCTAACACTTTTGTGGCGATCTGGCGTCCCACACAATTGATCTGATAAAGCTCGAAACTGGGAAAGGTGCCAAATGAGCGAACTGGGGTTGCCAGGCAAAACTCACAGAATGGAACACACATGATGAAAATGAAAAGAAGGCATGAAACCTGACAGTTGCCATCTCCTTGAACCTTAACCTCAATAAAGCCAAATGCTTGCAATCTGAAAAAAATATAAAAACATAAAGAATCAAGTTAACTCTGTCTACAAAAAATTTAGCATTCTCCAAATCCAGTGAGATTACCATGATTGATATAAGAACCTAGAGGCTTATTAAATGAGGGATTAACCTAGAAGAAGAGGTAGAAAGTGATAAATGACATACCTATTCAGAAGCCTTTCATGATCCGAGGTTACTTCATCAAGAGAAGGTATTTCTCCGTTGATTTTAGGAACATGCTGTAAGGAATGAAGGATGACAGATTAGGCAGCTGGTAAAACAGAATTTGACTCAGTAGTGTGGTGGTCGAACGACAACAACTCTGCCTTTAGGGTATGCAGTAACAGTAGAGCCAATATCCAACTAACCCATGTAAAATCTTACTTTGGAATCTATTGAAACGGACAATTTTCAACGAATAACGGATTGGAGAGGAGAGGAGAGGAGAGGGTACCAATAAAAACAGTTAAAAGGTAAACATGTAGCATAAGGACCTCTCGGTATATGGTAAACTTGACAATTGTCCAAGGTGAGGAGCCAAGGCTTCAGCTTGAGGATTATGGTTGTTATAGGAAATTATTGAGAGCTAGACGGACTAGTAAGGAGTTGATTCTTGAAAGGCCCGAAGCAACAACCACTTAAATCCCACAAAGTTAAAGAACGTGCTTCAATAATCTAAAAGGGAAATTGGATATGCATTTGAACGCTGAAGAAATCAGAACCTGATGATCGTACTAAAACCAAAGCAGAAGAAATTAAACTCACGCGGATAGGGATCAATTGATTCAACTTCTTGCCCACTTCATCATCCAATCCATAATCGTCAGTCAATTCCGACGAATAAGATTGTTTGTCCTCATAACTAGGGCTGGAGCAGGAACTCGACGAACCCATATCATCAGATTCCTCATTGCTACCTGCAGGGGAGTCCAAAACCGAGAAGTTGAAATTAACAATATCGACGAAGAAGCCACAGAACCCGGCCTCCCAAACTCACCGGAGGTATTAGTAGGCCATCCGCTGGCGGCATAATAGGAAGGGCGCCGATAATAGTCTTGTTGTACTTCTTCTTCTTCTTCTTCTTCTTCTTCTTCTTCTTCTTCTTCTTCTTGGTGGGAATAGCCAGACGATTCGTTGGTGACGGCGAGATGGGAGAAATCTTCCTGAAGGGTGCGGGCGATGATCTCGTCGTTCTCTACATGAGTGTTGTCCGTAATGTCGTAATGATCTGCAACATAAGGCCCGCCGTCGTGATGGTTTTGAGGATGATAGGTTGAATGGTCGTTTTGAATTACATCGCCGCCATAGTACCCGGAATAATAGGGTGGACTCGCTTCCAAAAGGCTTAATCCCCACTGAATTACATCCGATTCGTGCTCGTAAGCCGCCATCGCTGGCCCCGGGAACGAGCTTCACGATCGCCTGATTTTCCAACCTCGCCAAATAATCAAAGACGAAACAATCCAAAGCCGAAAGATGGATACGATTCCCACAATCCCGATGATTCAATGTCAATATTTCTTTACTTTCACCTTCTATTTCCAAAAACTGGGAAAAACTCACCTGATTTGGTTCGCGTTGAAGAGCACCAAAACAAGAAAATGAAATCCAATGGAGGACAGAATCCGGTAAGGGATAACGAAGGTGTTTGAAATGGGAGCTGAATTCTAGGGAGAGAAAAAGAGAGGGCAGAGAGAAAGAGAAAAGAGGGAATCTTATTACGCGCATTTGAGGGAGGCGGAGTGTTTCCCGCGGCGTTAAAACGTCGAATCGCGATTGGGCTTATTATGCGGTGAGGTTTGGGGTGCCAATTGGGCAAACGCTATTGGCCTCTTGGCTTTCCATCGTTCTTTTTTTTTTCTACACTCCCTCGGTTCCATCTTCAAGCCGTCGTAACGTAATCATTCACCATACACAGTTAGCGATAGTTGTTTCTACTTGATAATATACATTCAATTGGATGACAAATTTTGATAACGAGATATTTGAGTATAAAAATGAAAATCTGTTGTGCTCGTGATCCCAACGTCTAGTGAGAAGCCGTTCGAATTGTGATTGGGGCTAATGTATGGGCAAAAGATCCTTGTCTCAGAATAGAGCAATGGTTCCGATGAGAAATAGAAAAGGGAGAAGAAGAAGAATAGAGAAGTAGGGAAACAAAAGAGTAGTGGAGAAGGGAGGGAAGGAAAGGGTTGGCTAGCTTCGAGGGAGCCTTTCTCCTTAAGTGGATTTCTGTGCTTGACAATTCATATCCCTTTTATTCCATATGACCACTCTTAAATAGCAATCGAAGAACAAAACGACTATCAGCTAACGAGGCCATAAAACAGAGGATAATTCTAACTAATATCAAAACAGAACAACAATTGGAACGGAATAATTGGTAGTGGTTCTCAATAGTGGGTTTCTAACGGTAAAGGCAAATAAGGCACGTGACAATCCTTCCCCCTAAAGAATACCTTTGTCCGCAAAGGTCAAACGTCGATCGGCAGCGGCTGTACGGACAACTGGTCGTCTCCCGTCTTGGCCTTCAAAGCGGAGACGTGGAAGACGGGATGGATTCGAGACTCATTCGGCAGGTCGAGCTTGTAGGCAACCTCGCCGATCTTGGCGACTACTATACAGGGCCCATAGTATCGAGGTCGCAGCTTCTGATTAGCTTGACCTCCCACTGTTGCTTGGCGATATGGCTGGAGTTTGACAAAAACTGCATCCCCAACTCTGAAACTTCGCTCAACATGACCAGCATCATAGAACTTCTTCATCTTCTCCCGAGCTCGCACAATTTGGTGGCGCAACTCCCACAGCGCAGCATCGCGATCACGAAGCTCTCGATCAACAGCAGCTACAGTAGCGGTGCCCGACACATACGAAAGTATAGTGGGTGGAAGCTTGCCATATAGTGATTCACAGGGAGTCTTCTTAGTAGAAATGTGCACGCTGGTGATGTAGCAGTACTCAGCCCACAGCAGCCATCAGGGCCATTCTCGAGGTTCTTGTCCTGCAAAACACCTGAGATACATTTCCATGGTTCGGTTGACAGCTTCAGTCTAACCATCAGTCTGAGCTGAAATTGAAGTTGGTGCCCTGCATTTTGAACAATTCCTTCCAGAACAAGCTCGTGAAGGTTGGGTCACAATCATACACAATACTCTTTTGGCATACTGATACGCCAAAACACAACACCAAACTGCGACCAAGTGTAATCGCAGTCCGGGAATGCAGTAACAGGCAAGTTCTATTATCAACCCGGGGTCTAGATCTACTGCTTACTCCGTGATTGTCTATTATCTAGCCAACTAATTCGATTGATTGTTGTTTAAAGCAAAAGCAGTAAGAAAGCAGGAAATGGTTCGGTTTTCAAAAGCAGGAAAGAGTCACTCGGGAATGAGTCCCCCTAGCCCCTTAGTTAGGTTCAATTGTAATTCCCCTGGGTTGATTCACTGTTGATTAGACTGCGGAAGATCCGACAGTAGCTTGGAATCTCTTAAACTGACCAAGCCCTCTTAGTCTAGCTACCCGGCAGACGACTAGTCTTCACCGGGATAGAAAGCTGAGGCTATGAACACAGAACTCCACTACTGGAATTGAATTTCAGTACAAAGTAGTAAACTGGCTAACTCTCGTATAGCCAATCTCCCACTATCGAATGAAGAGGCTCTGACAACCTAATCAGATTCTATCTATCTCAGGTTGCAGCAGAAATCGAGAAAAGCTGATCAGACTTCAAACAATTCAATAAACATGCATCATTCGATTAAAATCAAACAGTATAATCATCCCAAGTCATTACAATCAAATCCCTAACACAAGGAACTAGGGTTCTTCATACCCAAGTGAGAGAAAGGTTCTACTCCATAGAGAGAGAGAAGAAAACAGTAATCGGAGTAGTCATACTCATAATAATGAGGAAAATCTGCTCCGGGATGATGATTTCCACTCCTATGACGATCTCCAAGCTCGATTCGATGAAACCCAGGTCCAAGATAGCTTCTAGGATGTGTTCTTCGTACTTTCTCTCTCTAGGGCTCTGTTTTTGCTCTGAAAATCCGATTCTCCCACTTTTGGCTCGAAATTGGCTGAAAAACCAGAATTTCCCGACTCACACGGCCAGGCCACACGGCCGTGTGGCTCACCCATTTGCCCATGTGAATCAAAACGCGTCGTATCAATTAGGTCGACCTTCAGCCATCCCACACGGCCAGGGTCGCACGACCGTGTGGATTTCCTGCTCTGCCCGTGTTTGGCCTCGGCGAAAGTCACACGGCCACAAATGCAACTTGCACGGCCGTGTGATACCCAGGACTGCCCCTGTGGCTTCCTTAGAACCTCGTCATGCGTCCGATCTTCGTCCAATCGACCCCAAACTCGCTCCAATGCCTCCATTCACGTACTAGGACCTGAAATATCACAAACAAGCACAACCTAGCGTGAAATCGGCCTAAAACACGAGAATCAACACCTCAAACGGTGTAAGAACAGGGGTAAAAACATGTGTAAATAACGGTCTATCAAACTCCCCCACACTTAACCGTTTGCTTGTCCCCAAGCAAACCAAGTCAGACACAAGGTAAGCTTACAAATTTCAATCAACCAACATTGGGGACAAGTCACAAAGGCACAGAACACGTGAATCGTACGGGTTTTCAAACATCAATACATGCACAACCTCAATAGCAACCGGGACAACCACCACAAAGGACATTCGAGTGCAGCAAAATCGAGTAAAGGAAGAGTCTCCCTTATGTTCACCAGCCAACCTAGACTTGACTCAACCACTTACTCAAAACAGTCAACTCATGCATCCAACTCATGACATCAGAATAGAGACCAAGCAATCTAGGTCCTCACCGGGGTACAAGAGTATATAGAATATGAAAATGAATCACTCACTCTCGACCAGTGGGGTCAGGACAATTTGATGCGAAAAATGCGCATGCTATTTCTCTCAATCCCTAACATCTCTTCACCATGATGGCAGCCTCTAAATGCTAGAGTTCACATATGGGGTGTCACCACTAACTAATCAGGAGGTCTTAGACACAGGTTCAAATGTCTGGCTAGGGTCTTGGACATGGGGAAAAGGTCTTTTAACTGGTGGAGTATTCATAGCACAAGGTTCCACATTTCCAAACCCACACAATCACAGTCAAACAAACTGGTATTTCCTTTCTGCTATTCTGCATTACTCATTATCTCAAGAGCACAAAAGCGAAGGAGGTATAAATGTCAGCATTTCCAAGCCAGACTGCTAAGAAACACTACTTACTGGGCATTATTCAGATTTTTGGTAGTGGCTCTCTTTTGCTTTCAATTTTTTTTTCTTTGTTTTTCTTTCATTTTCTTTTCATTTCTTAAGAGAGCCACCACTTCTGCACAAATTTCAAACACCTGCCCAACTTTTAAGCACTACCTCCAACAATCACATAAACTTTAGCAGAAACAGCAGAGAATATGTAAAAACCACTCTGTGGAACCTTCTAAAAGATGCAAAAGGGTGATTTTTTCATTATAGACCAAAAGGAAAGGATAACGCACGGCTCAAAGGGGCTGACTAGAGGGTATGACACATTAGGACAGTCAATTTGGGCGTGGGCTAATCCTATGCCCCCATCATCTTAGCTAGTGACAACGTGAATGCTACACATCATGGAAGAGGGATCTATCGCACAAGAAAGAAACGAGCAGGCTCAAATCTCACATGGCTACCTATATGCTCTATCTCACATTCTGATACCCTGAACTAGATGCATAAACGACTGTCAAGAACAAGTAATCAATCCAAGTCACAGTTGGCAAGCAAACAGTTGAAAGAACTAAACCCCTACACAATTCTATTGCACGTCTCAGTCCTCATCATAGGTTGTCCTAGTCACAATCAAGCTGTCATGCATCAATCCGAAAACCATTAAATTCATCAATCAAAACACAGTGCCAATATGATCAAACAGCAGTACTTGGAGCCCTCAAATCGTAAGATTCGGACAGCGGGCTAGGCTCCAAGCACACAGATATATATTCCAACCGATACAAAGCACCCCCCCCACACTTAAGCACGACATTGCCCTCAATGGAGTAGAGGGGGAGATAAGGGGAACGATGTTAACGGATTGAAACACTGCTGGGGGACTGGAAGTGGACCAGTCAGCGAGAAACAGAAGGGAAGATGGACAGTTCTGCACGAATCGAACACCAAGAACACACTAGCACACTGTGCGTTAGGGATAAGTGTTAGCCCAGACGGCTACAACATAAACAAACCACAAAAGAGAAAAAAAACAAAAACAAACGACACTAAGTTCAAGCTCCTCACACATGGAGCAAACACACAAAAGTCTAAAACGAAAAACAAAACACACTGAGATGGGCAACGAGTACAGCCTACTCGTCGCCAAGATCATCCAAGTCGATGTCGGCCATGAAGGCGTCATCACCAGCAGCGCCATCAGCACCATCATCACCGTCAGCTGGGGGATGTGGAAGTGGAGAGTCATCCCAGGGAGTACTCCAGACGGGCTGCTCGCTCGGGAGCAGCTGGAGCAGGTGCTGCTGGACCTCCTGCATGCGCTGTGAACGGCGCTTCTCCCGCTCGATGTGTGCGAGAGTCACTCCCTGCTGGGTCTGGAGTATGTCTAGGCGCTCATCATAAGCAGCCATCCTGTTCTGGTACTCGGCCTGGTGTTCCGCGTACTGCTGCTGGAACTGCATCTGCTGGTCGAGGATCTGCTGGTTCTGGATCCGTAGCTGCTCAAACTGGTAGGAGAAGTAATCCTGGCCCGGGAAAGCGGAGCTGCTACTCCCGTAATGGAAGTGAGTCTGTGGTGGATCAGCAGCAGCCTCCACATCCTCTGGGTGGATATCCTCACC